ATTAGAAATAAATGTTCTGTTGTGGAGCTCGAATATGTTTTTAACTTATCGTCTGGACACCGTAGTCATACTCACGATCAATAATGCAATAACATACTCATTTATATATATTTCTTAATTTTATACATAATTTTACTGCTTCATTCGATTAATTGGCTACAAGTAGGAGTTCGAAAGTCCTCTCAATTTTGTTTCTTAGGCAAATAATTATTTGACTATTTCGGATTTTTCCAAAATCTCAGCCATGATGTGTGACTCCGCGCAAGGTGTCGTGGGTTTGATTCCCGCACGGTACAACTCCTTTTGTGCTCCACTAATTGCTGTTTCGGGTGTGAGTGTGATGTGTATGTGAAATTGTATGTTTGAAGACGCACCCACGACACCTGAAAAAACATTAGTGTGGGGCAGCGTTATTTTTTAAAAAAAGTAATATTCCAATACTACATACCTACTTCTAAAAAGTCGTCCTTTAGTGTTGCTTTCGGTCAGTCTTTGTTTGTCTGTTATTCCAGAAATAAAATCTCTCAATTCAAAACAAATGTGATGGCAGAATTGAATACATATATTATAGCATTTTCCCTTACAGTCTGACGATGCAGTGAATCCAGACAGGTTGTATGACTTGGTGGCAGTTGTGGTGCATTGTGGCTCTGGGCCCAACCGAGGACACTACATCAGTATTGTGAAGAGCCATGGCTTCTGGCTGCTATTTGACGATGATATGGTAGATGTGAGTATTATTGTAAGAAAATTATGATAATGAAAGCAATTTACTTTAACATGTCGATGCCTAAGGTAAGCTATATGGACGTAATCCAATTATTGACATAGCAAATTCAATCTTATGTCAATAACATAAAACACACATTACTTCGGATATTTGAAAAGTTTCATGCGAATGTGCGCGTGTGTACTCAAAAGTTCAAAACTCTTTCGGTTCTGCGCCTGATTTTTAAGGCTGTCTTAATACTATTTTAATTTAAAGAAAATACCTATATTGAATCAAGAAAAGTATTTAAATTTTACATAATATACAGTACAGTTATATCATTGAGATCCTGTCTTAGCGATCATATATTTCCTATTCTTGACATTCTTTGATCTTCATCGTGAGATTTCGTTATCTTCCAGAAGATGAAGTATTTAAAAACTTAATTATTTTCCGCGTTAAAAATTTTAAAAGTTAGAAAATCTGTTATTGTTAAAAGAAAAGCATGGTAATATTTATTTAAATTGACTAAATAATAATTAAATAATGCTTATATTTTTTGTAGGTATTAATATGTATGTTTAATTTCTTTGCAGAAAATAGATGCCTCTGCTATAGAAGACTTCTACGGCCTAACTTCTGATATACAGAAATCTTCAGAAACAGGATATATATTATTTTATCAATCTAGAGATGCTAGTTGTTAAGTTTATTCAATTAATTTTAGTAATTTAAATTATTTAAGATAGTGATTATAATGAATCATGTTATCATGCCACGTTTGTTAAAGTTGAAAAGGCATATAATATTATTGAAAATTGTTTAATTCCAATCATTGATTATATACATATATATATTATTCATCTTTTAATTGTCATACTGTTGTAAATATATTTCATTTCATTTCAAAATAAAACGTGATCTTTCTCCACGTGAATTGTCTTTTCGTTTTTGTAGCAATAGTTCTGACTACTGCACTAGTGGATTTAACTTGTAGTAGTTTCAAATACTCTGCATCATTGAACAAGGTCTTTCTGGCCTACAAATTTGGAATCCGTGATTATCGAAAAAAATATCTGTGTAAGAAGATTTGGATGTTTTAAGTGTTGGAGAGCCATGGTTTGACAAAAAAAGGCCGGCTTGACCAGAGTTACGTCACCGAAAGCCGGCGTGAAACAACGTTTCGTATTTCGCCGTTTGAGCGAGGCCCAATTCACCCCTTCCATTTATAATCATACATAATTATATTATATTATGGATTATACATATTTACCATCAGGTGGTCCATCATAAGCAAGTTTGCGATGCGCATAACTGCTTCATAGAAAGGGAAGACTGCTTCCAAGTTCCACTCGCTCCGCACAATGGCCTGGAGTCTCGACTACGGCCAGGCGCATCTCGGACCGCGGGCCCAGTTGCCGGATCCGTAAACAAAAGATATTCCGGCGAGTAGGACCACTCAAAAATAATAACTAAAATATTGTGAAAATTTTTTTTTGATGTAGGTAACTAATATTTGTAGAAATATCCCTTTTTATTTAAAAACATCGTTGATTTATATTTAAAAATAAACAATTTGACTCTAGTTTAGGCTGTTGACCTTGAAATCAACTCACAAAACGGACTAGAGTTGATATAGAATCACAAAATTATAATGTTTATTCTGTACCAATTTTAACTTCAATTATTGATTTTTTAATACCTGAGTGGTCCCAGTCTCCGAAAGAAAATCTATTAAATACCTATGTTACCGGCTATGGGGACCGCGGTCCGAGATTTTATGGAGGCGTGCGTTCGTGCAGCGGAATGTTGTTGAATTTAAAGATTTTAATTATGCAGATATTTAGTGTATGACGTCGTATAATTGTGTATGGTAAAAAAAAAATTTGTGCACGCAACCATTGTGGAGAAATTAAAAAAAAACTGATTCCGCTGGGCGAACGTTGTCCTGGCGGAACTTTTTTTAATCCATAGACTTTAGAAGAAAAGAGATGTATCCAAAAATTAGTGTGTATTTGTGTGTAATTGTGTATGTATGAATAAAACTAGTGCATGCATAAACTTCGGAGAAATTCAAGTTTCCGCTACGCGAACGTTTGGCCATTAGCTAGTTTTCATATAAAGCGCTTACATAGAGAGCTGTAGATTTTTACATACGTTGTTTTGAATTTGTGTATATTTGTTTAAAAAACAGATTTAGAAAAAATCGTAGGGTTTAAAAGATAAAAATATAAACGTAAAATACGCTTATTAGGTCTTAGTTCTTAAAGTATGCACTTTAGGGTCTAGATTTTCACGTTTATACAAACCTTGTAAGTGTCTGCAACATGTTGCCAAGTATCAATGATGTTCCGTTAGTAATTAAATAGTTATAGGACAAATTTACCATGAATAGATCACTGTTTACAAAGCAGTAAAATATCACGACTTTCTAAATGAATTGCATGGTAAAATGTATGCCAGTAATTAGTGTATTCACTCAACTATTCACATGCATAATTTCATGTCATTTAAGTCAGTAATTAAAGAAAAACAATTATAATACTGACGAAGCATCGAAAACCTACATAACCCGACCAAGTTCGGATGGCTACAAAAAAGCGGCCGTGCCATATATCTAAGAAACGTTCTTAACTTTCCAATATAGCATTTATTAATATGGTACAGTACCGTACACAAGCGTTAGGAAAAAATAAAACACAGTATCGTACACACGCTCGTGCATGCCTAGTCTATTGGTTAAATAGTGTAATAAAAATATTGGTTAAATAGTGTAATAAGCTACAATATGATAAATATTTACCTAAACAGTAGTACATACTTACATGTGGTAAATATTTAATTTCCCTAAGGGGTCTATAGTTACAATCCTGATCCATGATATCTTCAATAGAAATTAGCTGTATGAATTTTATTTGTCTTAAATATAATTAGATTATATCTCAAGTCTCAAGCGCATACTTAAATAAAGTACCTACGTAAATAGTATCTACTTTCTGTCATAGTCAAATACATTTAAAAAAGTAGGTGTCCAAAAATAAATGACCTATAAATTATTTCGAAACAACAAGTGTGTTATCACCTGTACCAATTCAATACCGGTATTATACTGTAAATTTTGGGATGTTACCTAAATATATTGCACAGCCGCTTTTTTGTAGCCATCCGAACTTGGTCGGGTTATGTAGGTTTTCGATGCTTCGTCAGTATTATAATTGTTTTTCTTTAATTACTGAATTAAATGACATGAAATTATGCATGTGAATAGTTGAGTGAATACACTAATTACTGGCATACATTTTACCATGCAATTCATTTAGAAAGTCGTGATATTTTACTGCTTTGTAAACAGTGATCTATTCATGGTAAATTTGTCCTATAACTATTTAATTACTAACGGAACATCATTGATACTTGGCAACATGTTGCAGACACTTACAAGGTTTGTATAAACGTGAAAATCTAGACCCTAAAGTGCATACTTTAAGAACTAAGACCTAATAAGCGTATTTTACGTTTATATTTTTATCTTTTAAACCCTACGATTTTTTCTAAATCTGTTTTTTAAACAAATATACACAAATTCAAAACAACGTATGTAAAAATCTACAGCTCTCTATGTAAGCGCTTTATATGAAAACTAGCTAATGGCCAAACGTTCGCGTAGCGGAAACTTGAATTTCTCCGAAGTTTATGCATGCACTAGTTTTATTCATACATACACAATTACACACAAATACACACTAATTTTTGGATACATCTCTTTTCTTCTAAATTCTATGGATTAAAAAAAGTTCCGCCAGGACAACGTTCGCCCAGCGGAATCAGTTTTTGGTGAATTTCTCCACAATGGTTGCGTGCACAATTTTTTTTTTACCATACACAATTATACGACGTCATACACTAAATATCTGCATAATTAAAATCTTTAAATTCAACAACATTCCGCTGCACGAACGCACGCTTTATGGAGGCCTCGAAAACGACTACTTATGGACTATTTACAAAATCGGCAAAAATATTATTTATTGAAAAAGAAAATAAGTAAGTATAGAGAAGTTTGATATAACCTATTACACATTTGTTTATAACCCATTTATATTTTTAATAAAAGGCGCATCTAAATGTAGAATTGTGCTATTCACAAAATTGCAGTACAAACTTTAATTTAATAACCAATAATACTAACAAGCTACACACGAAAACCAGTGTGAAGCAATCACAGCAAAAACACCTAGATATTCCATTACTTATTCAACTAAAATTTAGGACTCAAAAATAAAACATGAAATTCCTTAAAAATATTTATTAATTTCTTTAAGCTACAAACTCATAGGGGATGGGAGCCAATAACACTGGTTTCTCAGTGCCACTGACAATATGAGCAGGCTTGGGTCCAGCAGGTTGCCTCTTGAGGTTGACGATCTTGCCAGCAGCCTTAGCTTCCTTCAGGAGCCTCTCATTCTCCTTCACCCTCTTGAGGAAGTCCTGTCTGCACTTTGAGTGTTTGATGTGCTCAATGCGGACGTTGATGCGCTTAGGTAGGATCCTTCCACGGACACGCTTGTTCACAATGATGCCCAAAGCGTGTTGTGTGACATTGTAGACGCGGCCAGTCTTTCCGTGGTAAACTTTGTGGGGCATACCCTTCTGGACTGCACCATTACCCTAAAATTATGAAATAAATTTTATTGTAATTAATAATCAGAAATAAAGGCTGTGTGAGGATATTTACAACCTACTCAAGACTAGATGATCACTTCATAAATCTTATCAATACTGTTCTGGTAAATAAATAACTTGAAAAACTAATAAACATACATTCCTAGTAAGGCTTTACTTCTTACTAGAAATCTTATATGAATTAATTCATAAATAAATCAAAAATGTTCTTGAATGGCATGCAACAACTAATAAAAATGAATTAATTCCATGTGTGAAAACAATAACAAAACTTATAATAGAAATTGATTTCAGATAAAATTTACAAAGAAATGAACATTTTGATAAAGTAGTACTTGTGGGACATACCCTGATGTCAACGATGTCGCCGACTTTGTACACTTTCATGTACGTCGAAAGAGGGATGGTTCCATGAGTGCGGAATCTGCGGGCAAACAAGTCCCTAGTTCCGCGGCGATAACCCTTGGAGTTCGTCATTTTTGGGCCTGCAACAAAATCAGTCACTGATCACCACCGACAGTCGCACACAACACGTGGATTTACGATTTTGCTGAACAAAAGAACGTATTGAAGTAAACTATTGATGATAACACAAATTCATTTAAAATAACATGATTAATGACACAAATAATTATTTTATATCATTTTTTTCTAATATTTAAGAATATTTCTTTGATATTCACCTTGTGTTACAAAGCTTGACGGATAAAGAAAGAGGTTATCTTAGTCTATGGCTGGTGGTTCGTAAATCGACCACAGACTATGAATTCATATAGCTCTACATAATCGAACTTAGAGATTCGCTATATCATAACTACAGTGATTGTGAAAAATAAAGTTCGTAATCAATCAAAATAGATATTTAGATCACATAAAAACATACAAATATTATACGTAGTATTAGTGAAAAAGCCTTTCCTTTGTATCGTAAAAATACGTTTTATACTAAAGAGGTACCTATTATCTAAAATAGAAGAATAACGTAATACTTAAATGCGTTATCGTACCGATTTCGCTCTATTGAAGCAACAAAATACCAAGGCCAAATTCAAATAGTTTGAAGATAAAAAATGTGCCTATAACACTCGATTTTAAAATCGTAAAAATTAATATCTTGTAGACTGTAGCTCAAAGTGCACTAGGGAGTGATACATGGATCTCTCTATTCTCCACCTTAGAGGCACTTGTTCTTAAGAATACTACGCATACGACTATTTTAGATTAAACATGACGGTTAGGATTGTTTGTACTAAAAAAACTAATTTGACTTGAAGGTTCATAATAATTATTTTAAACTTTTTCTAATTTAGATATGAAGCATTTTATTAATGTATTGATTTATAAATACCATGTTCATTAATTCCAGTATTGTGATTGCTTTTGATTTACTTGATATTTTTTCTAAAATGTAACTTATTTTTTATCGATTAGTAGTTATATGAGCTTTAGGATGGTATCCCAGGTCCCGAGAGTGATTTATGTCAACATTGTCAACGTCGCGGTGGTATTATATTATTTTACGTGATTAAATAGAATAAATTAGAAAAATTAAGATAAATGTAGTGTTTTAATTCAAATTATCATAGTACTTAGCAATATGAATACTTCTGTAGAAGGAATTATTGTGAACAATTGTCAATACGCCCCGATTTACGTGATACAAGATCCTGGCGCCACTCAGGTAACTATTGTTATCATTGTTATATTTACAGATATTTTAACGAATATTAAAATAATTTTGTGACATTTGATTACAGGGAAATACATACGTCCTTGCATCGAATAATGTGGAGGCACCTAAACCAGTCAGTAATAACCTGAAAACATTTTATGAAAACAGCGGAAATATTGAGAATGGGTTAATAAACACAGATACCGGTGTCAAACTTAATGTTGTCAAAAAGAAAGAGAGCGTATTGATAGGAAACAACTTGAAATTGGCCAGCTTCCTGCTGCCTAAAAACGAAAATGTAAATAAACAATATGTAGTTGATAACTTTGTTTTGAAACCTACCACAACCACGACAGCGAGTAATCCAATACCTATAAACCATCCACTAAATACAGTACCAAAAATAGATATTGATAGAAAGATAGTGAAACTCAAAGAGGTTCCGATCATCAACAGACATCGGCCTGACAAAGTTTTGCCAAAGATTAAACCAAAAGAGAAGTGAGTATCAGTTCTTTTTAAGATTATAATCATTATCACATTAAGATAAGGTCTTGCTCAATGTTGGGTAATAACAACAAATAACAAACAAATAGTTTTCTCACCAAGAAAGAAATAATGCTTCTTTTATTTTGTTTCTTTATGATTAGATCCTGGGCCTATTTCTCAATGTCAGTATAACTTATATGAACATAATTTGTATGAACTATGTGTGTAAGTTTATTGGGCCCTTTTATGAAGGTGGAGAAACAGGCCCTAAATGAGTTAATTTCATTCTAAGACCCTAGTTGACATCTGCTTAATACCACATTATCTTTTAATTTTTTCATTCAAATAAACAGGATAGCTTTAATGGGCTCATTTAAAAAGTATTAGGGTCTGATGAAGTAGGTGCCAATAAACTCAATGAAAGGATCTAATCATAATTAAATAAATTATTTTATGTTTCAGCACACCCAGTCCCACTCGATCCAAACACACATCAGTGCAATTAATAAAATTAGGAGAAACTTATCATAGGTGAATATGTGTCATTTATCATTTATTTGTGAACAAGACCTTGGTTTGTACCACTGCTAAATGGTACAGGGCTTGTCACAATGTAATAACCCCACCCAGTCTTTAGGACTCTTAACACACACTTATGAAATAAATAAAATAAATATAATATTTATCTTTGGTAGGTAGTGGGTAAGTAATATATGTTTCCCATATAAAATGGGAAGTTAACCTTTAGTCTGCCTCTATACAAGATACTGTAAATAATACATTGTGTCTTGTCAAGGTTGTGTGGCCTGGAGGTAAAAGAAGGTTGAAACCTAACAAGTACCAATGTAACTTTTCTGAGTTATATGTACTTTCTAAGATTATGTACACACCCTAGATATATCATGAAAGTAAAACATAGTAAGGAATACTGGGCTTATAATTTCAAATTATAAGTTTGACATCACCAATCTGACTTGTGGTGATAAATGATTATTCCTTCTCCATGTGAAGAGAGTTCTTTTATAAGCAGTGGAAACTAGCGGCTGATGATTTGATGATGTGTGTCTTGTGTAGACCTGCATTCTGGCAGACTGGGGGTTAATGCATAAATATAATAATTGTATAATTGTGTACACACCAGCAAGTGTTCAGGTTGTTGCATAGATTTGTATACAGTACTTTGTTACAACACTCTTCAGAAGGAAAATATGACGGTCTAGGTCTTTATGTGTGTTTGTTATGTCACATACAACTGTACATTTTCATATCAATTTATTACTATTGATTAGATGATATAAATGTTTGTTGTTTATGTTTTCAGTTTAAATCATTTAAGTGCTGATCAAATAAAGATGGTGAATCAAGCCTTGAAAATGTTTAATGATCCTGATAAATCAGTACCAGAACCTACATATGATCCAGTCACCAATACTAAGTATATTTACAAGTAAGTTTGGCTATGTGATAATATAATTAATGTAAATATAGATAAAGTATCTTAAAATTAGATAAGTAATGATCTAGTAGTACCTATAGCAGATATGTTGGAAACATATCTGCTATTTGGCATGAGCATGTGGTATTTACTAATGACTTATCAATTTATTAAGCATGTGGTGATTAAGGTAATTACAATACAATACACCTATTTATGAGAATAATTGTAATTATTAATTGTCACTATTTTTTTCTATTTTAAGCCTAAAAAAAATATGTATGTACATTTTATCTTTATGGTGGTACTCTAATTAATAAGCATACAAATGTGATTTTTTTATCAAAATCTGTTTAGCTGTTTTTGAGATAATGTGTGAAACAACAATATTTATTATGTTTTGAGTTAAAACACGTTTAAAACCTACTATAAATATATTCATTGTGTTCTTCTTGTGTTTTAGGGTGGTGTCACCAAAAGATCTAACAGTAGTCGCCAAAAAGAAAATCTTGTTAAAAGATCGAAAACATCAGCTCACAAAAATCCCTAAACGAATAGAAGCAGAGAAAATCGTGAAACATATGCCACCAGAAAAAATTGTGAAGCAAGTTGTGACTAAAGAGGTTCCAATTCAAAAAGAAATTATTGAAGAAGAAGTTGAGCCACCAGCTGAGGTGAGTTTTAATCCTTTCTAATTCGTTTCGTAAGTATAGGGCATTAAAAAACAAATAATAAACACCGCCATTTATTTTAGGCCAAGGTAACTAGAAGTGGTCGAAAAGTAAAACTGCCCAAACAAATATTACCAGAAGGATCACCACAAAAGACTAAGAAGAAAAGCGGAACCATTGTCTCTTGTTTCCAATGTTGTACTGTAAGGAAATCAATATTTTTTTTACAAATTGCAATATATATAAACTAGTATTAATATGTTATGTACTTTCACAGGATTTTGGCAGTCTGTACCGGCTTCAAAAACATTACGAAAATCATCCCACACACATACCTGCAAAAATCCATTCCAATTTATTTCATTGTTTACTTGCTATCATCAAGAGCGGATCTGAAGGAAATAAAACCAACATATTTATACAGCAACTGGAACAACTTATTGTTAAACTGAAGTCGTTACTGCCATGTTTACTGAGCAAAGTAGAAGGTACTGATGGACAACCTTGCACAATCAACGAGGATATTGGCCGGTATGAATATAACTATATTTGCATATAATCATCTATTTCTTAACGTTAAATTTTCGATTCTTAATATTTCCAATTTTTTTCAGATTATTTGGCATGAATCCTGGCAAATATAATATTGATGTGGAAGCATTAAATTGTGTAAAAGATAAAAATGGTTACTGTATCCACAATCCTCCAAAAATCACTCAATTGAATAAAGATCAAATGAAATCTCCTCATTTACTTAAGAATATTGATGAAATATTGATTCCTGAGAATGAAACTGAAAATTGTGCAAGAATAAATTCAGTGGCGAAATGGCCCACTGTCAGCAAGAGAATTTGGAAACTCAAACAGAAAACAAATGAACAACAAAATGCTAAAAAAATTAGACTGAAATCAGAGGGGGACACTCTCATAGAGCTGGGAACCGAAGATTTTAACTTTCCTAAAGATGAAAAGAACAATTTTAATGCTGCAAGTATTATTCCCGATAATAATATAGAAACAGCAGAAATTATACCTCAAGCTGAAGTGGCGAAATTGTTAGAGAGTAAAAGAGACTGCCAAGTCAACTCTAATTCGGTGACTGAACAGCAGACTGATGATACTACCATGAATGAACTTAACAAACCAAAAACTAACTACGTGAAATTCCACAGTGCGCACTTCGACATTCGATCCTCACCTATAAAATCGTCTTCAACGGTGTTCCGTAAATTCCAGATAAATCCCAGCAAAATGGCTAGCTATGATGGACAGGTTATACGTTCATTAGAAATGGTTAATAAGCCTGACGATAAAGATGTCCCGCCGAAAAATTCTAATGGACTACCTAATTCAGAGAACAAAACGCAACAAAACAGAGAAAACAGGGTTCATATCAGTACAAATCCTAATCTAAGTGTGAGACGTGACCTCTTAGATACTAATAATAGTATACATTTAAGTATACCTGATAGTTTACTTGACTCATTAACAAATTCCAATGGTGATCATGTTGACATGTCACCTAATAATGGCTTACAATTGCACTCTTTGACTGATTCAAATGGAATACAACATGTTACAGTGGTCAATTCAGAAAATGGACTTGATGTTGATATGTTAGACTCAGATAACGATATCCGCCTTACTAAACCTACTTCGCCACATGATCTGCATAATGAGATGCCAAATATGGATGTTGGAGTAGATACTGCTATTTCTAACTCAAGTAAAAATGTACATGTTACCATAGATGATACTAATAGACGGTTAGATGTTAATTTGCCAAATTCGAATAGTATACAATATTTAGTTTCAAATTCAGGTACTACTCTACATGATCTGTTCAAAGATGACGTAGATTTAGAATGCAAAGATTCAGATGTGATAGACCCTGATTTAAAAGACTGGATTATAGGTACAAGTGAGAAGTCGGAAGATGGTTTTAGTAAGTCCAGTTTAATGGAACCAGTGTTGCTACATAGTGAGAAATCATTAGACTCGAAAACTTTAACTCAGTGCAATGACATGCCAACATTAGACGACTCATCTGACAATCGCCTTCTATCAAGCCAAGGCGAATCAGTATTAAATTTTTTAGATACACTAGGTAATGACTTATACCCAGAGACTGAGATTAGAAATAATGGTGTGGACTTCCAGCTGGATCTGTTCGCATTTCATAATTCATAGTTTAGTAGTTACTAAGAACAATTTTAGGTTTAAGAAGAAATGATTAAGTACATATATTTTTAGAGAAATAATAGATTTGTACTTATTGGCATATTAGTTTATTTATCTTATTATTTATATGTGTATTATAATAAGTATCAATGAGATTAGGTGAACTGCAATTTAGAAGAATAGGCAAAAATGGAAATGTTATTTGATAATGTATCTTGCAAATCAACTTTAGAAGCTAAATTTAGATTTTGTATTCACTTTGGATCACTGATAGTGATAATAATGTAAAGTACGTAAATAATGTTTAATGCATTATGTTACATATACAATGAATTACTGGTACAATTGATTTGTATTTTGTAAATAATAAATTGGTATATAAAATGGAAATTGTTTTTTAATCTGTTCTTTAGTTTCTATACTATTATTTAGATTTTCAACAAACAAAATGATAATGAAACAATTATACTTCAATCAACCACTTTATTCATAAATTGTTATTTTTGATTGATACATAATGTACATTGCAATCCTTTAGTTCAAAGAGTTTTAAATAAGATTTTTATAAACTTTATAAAATAACTTATGTTGTAAAAATAAAAATAAATTATCTTAGGCTTGTAGAACCGGTCTTTCATTCTTTCCCTCCAGTTTCTGGTTAGTGAGTGCATATCCTGTGCCACCTCTTTGCAGGGGGATGATGTCTTTCTCCTTCAACTTGTCTCCAGTGAGTGGGTGTAACCAATCCTTCTTGATGATCTTTTCAACACATTCCATTGTGACAACATCACCGGTTGTTCTGAAAGAATGAAAAAAAATATTAAATGTTGGTAATAAACAAGTCAATATTGGACAAATAGTTAACACAGAAAAGATTACACTGAATACTACTTGCAATGTAATATAATTTATAATTACTTAAATAAAAAAATCTTAAATAGGGGAGGAATAGACCTTCTATATAGCCTCCAGTAGGTTTTTATGGGCTGGTGATGACTGGTAGGGTTAGTTATAGGAACATGTGGTATTTACCTGATGACAGCACATGGGACAGCATTACTGAGAATATCATGTGTTACAGGGCACATGTATCTATTCTCCTTAGCAATTAGGGACTTCTTATCATCTGGATCATTTACTAATGTCCACTTCACATCAATTAAGTCCTTCATTTTTAGTGGTTTTCCACTTATTGGACAGTAAACTGTAGAATCAGGCTTCTCAATTTTTGAGATTTTAGCATCTGGTAACTCAGAGGGCAACCAAAAGCTTGGCAATTTCTTTGCTTTGCCATTGGCAAGATTAGACACTGATGATGATGATGATGACGAGGCATCACCCTGTTGATTATTACTCGAGATATTCTTTTCCCTGTTCATGAACTTGATTAGATTTGATTCTTTCTCAGCTGCTGCCAATTCGGCCTTTTCTGCTTCCTCCTTTTTCAACTGTTTCTCATACTTACTCAGCTTTCGCGTGTATTCGGTTTTCTTCGCGACTAAGTATTTTAAGATTGCTTCTTTATCAAACAAGTATCCTTCTTTGGTGATCACAGGGTTTCTGCAAGGCTGCAAAGTCAAGCTACAGCAATCGAAGTTCTTAATAGAATCTTTTCCCAATCTCTCACTTTGAGTTCCATATCCAGAAGCTGCAGCATCTTTCTTCTTTTCGTGGTAAGTGTATACAGCACCAGCTGTGCAGTTTCTTGCGTGTCGCGTCATTATTATTGAATGTAAAAGTAATTTGTGAAAATCTTTTAACACAATTTATTACCACATGAAAACAATACAACCCTGAATTGATTAACAACAATGACAGCTATGACAAATTGACAACTAGTTTGACAACAGGTAAACACTGTGAAGCGCACATACACGAACACGACCAAACACACACTGAGGAACTTTCACAACTTTCACTTTGATTTGATTGACTGAGTCAGTGGTGTTACCAGCCTAGAGACGTGATAAATCGATTAATAGTCGAGTTGGGTTTCACGAAACTAATTTATTTTTAACATATTCACCACAAATAAAATATATAATTTTCAATTAGTTTAGTTAGGTTTAACAATTATATAATAAGTTAATGACTAATTAGGTTTTTTTTATTATAAATATATTTCGCATCTAGCATCTAGAATATATAGGATAGAAAGAAACCACAGCTTGTTTTAAACACATTATTCTATTTATTTGCAAACACGTCAATTATATTTTTTTTTCATTTATTTCTTGAACAAAGATTACTAAATATTTTTGATGAAACTAGTAAGTTAACTTTTTTTGGGACTCGTTCTGTGGTTCAGTCAGAACCATAGACTATACATTAAATAAATTTATATTAAATTCAAATACCATAAAACCAACTATTCAAATGTAAAATAACACGTATGTTGGACATATATAAATAATCGACTATCGGTTAGTACAGCTCTAACGGGAAAATAAACTAGACATTTAAAATCAACTGTCAACTCAGCGAACGTCGACGACTCGATTTTTTTTCATGTTTACATTTTATTTCCGTAGTTTCACGAGTTTCTCTTTCGTGATAGGTGGTTTTTGAGGGCAGTTCGATATAATTTTAAACTTACGATAAAAATTATCTGTGATTAAAGTAATCTAATCTAATAGATTTAATTATAATTCACTCGCAGTGATAAAGTTTTTGAGTGTGTCGACCTAGTTCATAATAACATATTGAAGACATACATTTAGTGTGTATTTATTTTGTGTTTTAGTTTGTGGTGATACTTTTTTAAGTGAATAATGAACTTATCGTTTGCGGGTTGTGGTTTTCTTGGTATTTACCATGTTGGTGTTGCAGTGTGTTTTAAGAAATATGCTCCCCATCTGTTGTTAGGCAAAATTTCTGGCGCCTCTTTTGGCGCACTATCGGCCTGTTGCTTGCTGTGTGATCTGCCTATCGGTAATTTTTATATTTTTTATTATTCTATAGATAACATTTTTGTACTTACTAATTTTATATTAATTCTTTACACATTGGGTTGATAGATTTGATAGTTTGTTTAAATTGCGTTCTTATTTACGTGATTTTCATGTTTAATTAGTAAATATTTAATGACAACCAAATAAACATTAATCAGAGTATTAATAACATCAAACATCATTATTCAGCAGAACAAAATTATTAATTAATTAAATAAACAACTCATGTACAGTGCATATTCTGTACAGCCAATAATATTATCTAGCTACTGGAATTAGTCATCACAATATTGTAATAAAGATGATGAGACAAGGCCACAGAACTAACTTGTAATCTAATACTAGAACTTTGTTTATACTATACACTCAAGTATTAGAAAAACATAACATCACATAGTACAGAAATCTCTACTCTAAATATACAAGTACTGAGTACATTTTACATTGACTAAATAAAATGAAAAATTAATTATTTAACATACCAAGTAAAATGGACTTCATACCTACTTATGATAATTGAGTTCTTTATTGCATAGCATTCAATATTATTTATTATGGTTTAGAAGTTGTTATATAAAAGGTGAAGTCTTTTTAATATGAAATTGAGATGATATAATTCAAATTAATTTACATTTTTGCATTTCAATTTGAATTTTGTAATGAACTAAGTAATAAATTATTTTTACTGGAAGTTAATTATTGTTTAAGTTTCTATATTCATGAAAGATATATTACTTACTGCCTATTTTATGTTACCACCTTAATCTTATTGTTCTATTAGGTACACTTGCCAATACTATTGTGGTAACTGGACTGTCTTTGGCTATTCAGATAAAAAAAGGCCCTTGATATGTTAAATAACAACAACTATCATGAATTACTAGATTAAAAAAATTCTGAACATACATTACTCCAACATAATTATATTTGAAAAGGTTCCTTGGAATATGGAATTCTACAAAACAATTTTATAATTGTGCAATTGAAAAAACAATTGAACATACAGGATATCCTGAAGTACTAGAGTTTAAGAACAACAATTTACTGCAGCTTAGCTGGACAAGTAATAGGGAGTTTTTAATCAATAAGAATGTGACATTCCCTTTTCAAAATTAAACATTTAAAATTTCATGCACTAACTATCATAAGTCATACTAAATTAATTGAAACAACTTTCTCACACGCAGCGACGTCGCTGGTCATAATTAAGAGTCCCGTTGTGACTTGAAACTAGTAGAGCATTTCTTAGTTAATTCCCGTGAATAAGATTTAAGATTTGTTAAAAAAAAATTATTTTGATACAATTTTCGATCTTCAGAATAGAATTAATATAAACACATTAAGTTCCATTGTTAATTTTTTCTGTTTTACCTTACGAAAAGTTTCAGAATACGAAACAAAACAAAATTTTCAAAATACAACCATTCAAAAGTATTTGCGTAGATGCATTAACTAAACTTATGCATGGCCATATAAACCAAACAGCATAATCCCTGTGACTTTCAATGCTGAACAATAGCCGCGCATCCCACAAATAATCGTAATAATGTGCCTGAATGAAGCCTCGCGTTTATAAGTGCACATATCCTAAATGTTCTCATTATTAGCAAACAATAATCTTAACAGCTGATGTCCTATATCCATAGGTTATTGACACGGACCGATAACGTCACATAATTAACCTCAGATTTGCTGATAAATGTTGTATCAGCTTGTTGCCAACGCAACTGTTCCGAAACTTTTTAATGTATCGACAAAAATCAAGTCGTTATTTTTAAATTCTTTTTTTATTAAGAAAAAGGTATGGTCCACCCCTAGGATTATCTTCTGCGACGATCTTACTGGTGTTTGCATAATATTCACATCACATGCAGACCCTCACGAGTCCGTAACCCCGCCCAACGGACGAACAACTACCTAAATTAGATACAAAGTTTTTGAACGCCTTTTTAATATAAAAATTAAAATAATTTATGTAGAATTTGCTATAAAGTTACGTTAGAACGCAAAAAAAAATTGTATAGCTTGTTCCCATACTTAAACAAAAAATATCTTACTGAATTACTTGAACTTAACGGTAACCTCATTAACCGCCAAGTTCATCTACAAGACCATCATAAATCATAAGTGCGTTGCCGACCATACGTTGTAATTGTAATACTAATAAAAAATATATTTTTTAACCTCTTTAATGTGTTCAACAGGTGAGATCACGACAGATGTGTTGAGGGTCGTTAGCGAGGCGAGGGCAGGCTCCCTCGGGCCTTTCAGCCCTTCCTTCAACATACAAAATGTCCTCCTCGAAGGCATGCAGAAGTACCTGCCTCACGATGTTCACAAAATCGTCAGTGGCAAGCTTCACATTTCCCTGACCAGAGTATATGACGGGAAGAATGTTATTGTCTCAGAGTTTCCTACGAGGGAAGATTTGCTACAGGTGAGCATTAAATAAAAAAAATTACAGCACTCAGCTAAACGCGTTATTTTTCTCTGAAAAGGTTAAGGATGAGTACCTTAGAGTATTTCCAGTTTTCGTTGGTACATTATTTATAATTTTGTGTATCAAAAAGTCAATACTTCACCGTTTGGACATTGAACCCGACGGTCGTACTCTTCAGCAGTCGTTTGTACCTGAGTACGTCGCAATACAAGGCAGTTACAATAGCAATTATTACACAATAGTGTAATATTTAATTTGTTATACCCAAGAGTGCGAAGTACTCCTAATAACCTATGATCCTTCTTCATAAATATTTATTCAAATTTAATTTCAGTCTATTACCTGCCTATGGCTACGTAAATTTTCATTATCACTAGCAGGATCTATACAAAAAATAACTGCGTAATATTTGTGTTTTTGCGAAACAAAATATTTCGTATTTTGCGTAATAAGTAGTTATTTGTTTTCGTCGTGCTCGGAAACTGTGATGTCATAACTCATAATCGGCAACGGCGTCGGTGATGCGACAAGCGTACTTCCTACAATAATGACGATTGTGACGAGCAATGTCTACATGCTCCAGTAATCTACATTTATTCGAAATGTATGTCAAATTCTTTGGTGTTTTAATGACATAACTTTTGTATTGAACGTTTTGCGTTGTTCGCATTTTTCTTAATCTGATTTAGTTATTTTATTAAGCAACGTTTTTAATGTCGAATAGATATCCAAAATCAAATCATGAAAGCAGATTCATAAAACTATAAACGGTAGCGGTTATTGTTATTTAACAGGTTAACAATTTTTTGGAGTTTTGTGTAATTTTTATTTCATTCTTTTCTAATTATACCACAATGTTTCTATTTATTTTCTATCATTTTTAGTTTCTTCTTACATCCATGTAATTTAAGAATAGATAAAAATATAGAATAAGTAACTATATAACCTACATGGTGTTCTAATTTCAAATGTGTTCTTTAGGCGCTGTTGGCGTCATGTTTCGTGCCAGTATTTTCTGGGCTGCTGCCCCCACGTTTCCATGGCATCCGCTACATGGATGGTGGCTTCAGCGACAACTTACCAGTTTTAGATGAGAACACAATCACCGTCAGCCCGTTCTGTGGTGAGAGCGATATTTGCCCCCGAGATTTGAGCTCACAGCTGTTTCACGTAAGTATCGATTTTGATTGGAGCCTTTTACTCGTGAATGCGATGGTCTTTTCTATATTCTATTTTTGATCGATGTGGTAATGTGTCTTAATAACCTTGATGCTAATATCAACTCTTTGTCGATGTGACTAACGTAGTTTTTAGAGTAGAGAGAAGCACTAAAAAACTAAACATTGCTACTAAAAACAAACTTTGTACTTATGCAATAATGTTACTTTCCTATTTATGCTCTATTTCTTAATATTTGTAAACTTTTGTGGTACACATACACACACAAGAACTCATAATTCATAGGATAATATTAGCACCAGAGTTAAGTACTTTAACAATAAA